TGATCAGTAATATTTTTATTTGAGTAAAGGGCGAGGCTCATTAAATTATTTGAGTAAAGGATGAGGCTCATTAGAAGAAACTTACCCACAGTCACAAAACTGAAGGACACAGTGCCCACGTGGGCTGATTGCGGAGTTCACACTGCCTCCAGAGGCAAGGAGTCATTAGATCTCCAAATGCAACAAAGGGTTTCCGCTTAAAATTTTCTTTTATTAATACCATGTTCATCCTCCTCACATGGACTTGACACAGTATCTAAGACATCCCAATTCCCTCTTTCATCCCTTCCCTTCCCTCATTCCCTTCTCCTATCCTTTAATCCCTTCCCATTTAAGAAAAGTCTGTATTTCTACTTCTTGCTATCTTTTGTTTTGCTCTTTATTTATATTTTGGGTTTCACAGTCATGTAATATTTAAGCTTGTGTGTCTGATTTATTTCATTTAACATTATGGTCACAAAGTGCACCCACTTTCCTACAAATACTCAAGCTTATCCTGCTAGGTTCTTCCTAGCAGGGCTTGCTGCAGGTTGAGTGGGAGAGTACCACCCAGCCAACTCTCCATGTTGTGTGGTGCGTTCCCATAAGTTGGCTTCTTTGCTCCTCATTCCCCCGGGTGAGAACTGATATGAGTCCTTCAGCTCAGAATCTCTAACTCCAGAAACGTCTCTCCAAAAACATCTCCTGTACCCCCCTCCTCAGCCCTGCACTCTCTGACTCTGAGGCTGGTAGCTGGAAAATTTAAAAGACAGAGAGAGGAGCTTCCTTCATTATTTTTTTAAAGAGCAGAACGTATTTTTTGAGAGAAAGAAAGCTCTGTCTGAGAGAGAGAGAGAGAGAGAGAGAGAGAGAGAGAGAGAGAGAGAGAAGGGGTCCTAAGTGGGTTGCTGAGGACCCTGCCTTCTCTAGAGATCTTTGTAAAGCAAAACCACAAGGTGAGGTGGGTCTAAGGTGGGGAAAAATGGGATCTTGCAAGGAAGGCAGGCCTGCAGTGGGACAGAACTATAGTCAACCAGTAAGATTACAAGTATAATTGCTCAAGTACAACTGATTAAATTGGGAACAAATGAGGAAGCAAGTCCCATAACAAACTGGCATGAATACATGAATACAGAACAGGACCTTTGCCTGTAGGGGTTGGGTTAGTGACTCCATCTGGCTTCCTCAAGGCAATGGATACCTGCTTAGAATATCAATCCCTGATGTTTATCCTTAGCGTGTGGCTGCATTTGTTTTGCATTTTGTCTTGAGATCGCAGAGGGAGGTGTGGGTCTTCTCCAAGCCTGCATGATATCTAGTCTTCTGTACTGGCTCTTTCAAGGCCCAGCCCTGTCTGACTGCCCATAATATTCTAACTTAGCTGTTTATAACATTCCTCCCCCGCCCCAAGAATTATAGGAGCTTCCTTTAAAAATGAAATAACTTCTTTTGAATACATATCTACTATTGGATGCTCTGAAAAGAGAAATCACATCTACTAGTAATGAACTGCCACAAACTGAATTGTTTAAAACAAATTTACAGTCATGTGTCAGTTGGAGATACATCCAGAGACATGCACCACTAGACGATGTCATCATTGTGTGAACATCATGGAGAGTACTCACACAAACTAAGATGCCTATCATGTCACTTGGTGATAATCTTATGGGACTGCCATCATGCATGCAACCCACAATTTACTGAAACATCATTGTACAGACCCTGACTGAAATCTCTCATAGTTCTGGAGGCCAGATATCAAGTGGGCCTCAGTCCTCACCTCCTCTGAAGACTCTTGACTTTCTTTAGCTTCTGAAGGCTCATGGTAAACCTTAGCTTCAATCTTTACCTCTTTCTTCAAATCATCATCTCTTTTAAAAGGACATTTGCCATTGGATGTATGGACTACTCTAATTTAGGATACTCTCACCCCCAGATGCTTAATTACCCTTTTTCCAAGAAATATCACAGTCACAGATTCTGAGTGGGGCCATTAAACCCTGGCCTTCATGGCGAGCAAATAGAAGCAATGTTTTCTTCGTGGGTACTCTGGGATCCTCAATGGGCAGAAACATCACCCACTGATTAAACTTTTAGTCTGTTATGTCCAGAGACCCGTTAGTGGCTATGTGAGAGCTGGTTCCACCTCCCAGAGTCACATCCGTGAACTACAAATGTCTCTACCTTGCACTATTGCATAGACTTCTCTTTGGGGGCAAAAATGCACAAGCATACTTTGTAACTGAATACAAAAAAAAAAAAAAGAAAGAAAATCAAACCCCATGAGGCTGTGTCACATCTATATATAACGTCCTCCCATTGATGACATAAATACCCCATGAAGGAGTTGAATGTTTTGAACTGTCCCCAAGTGTAGAAGACATATGATGGGGTTGGAACATCTGACCAATTATTTTTGGAACATTAACCAAGTTCCAATCCAGCACATCTATTTAAACTGCAATCCTTTGTCTGACTTTGTGTCTTTCACTATAGGTTGGTGGTCTGAGGCCTGAGGTCTCCAGCTTCAAAGGCAGTAGACACCAACAGATCAACTGTGATTCTATGCTGACCAAAAGACTCTTGCTTACTAATTCTCTCCCATATGAATCCTTTTCTGAGTTAAAATTCTCTTTCGTTCCTTTATTCTCTATCTCATACCAAATTTAGAGACTTGAAATGGATCAGGTTTTGGTACCGAAGATCTTCCCCAGGAGGAAGATTCTATTCTCATTATTCTGTCTGACTTGGAACTCAGCCCTTCCTTAAATCCTTCCCTCTTTACCCAGGCCTCACAATCCATGCTTTACTCCGAAATCCCAAAGGCCTAATTGCTGTACCCCTCATTAGCACTTGGCACACACCCCACTGCTGATGCTAGAAGACAGATGATACCAATTTCTTGCCTCCTTGTATCTGTGTCTATGACCAGCATGACTTTATGTGATGTCAGTGCTATTTGAGGGATAATGGAAGCCCCTGGTATTCCTGGAAATCCCCCACCCCTGGCCCCAAATCAGCAGAAAGATACTTAATTTCACAGAATTTGGTAGATCCTTATGTTGGATTCATTTGAGAATAGTTGTTTTCCTCTGATTTTATGTATCCTGAAAAATGATTGCAGAAGTTCCTAACTTGCTTCTGTAAAATGACTTACTGGCATTTTTATTATCTTAACCTCATTATTGTTTTAAGAAAGAAAAGCAAAGCATCATATCCAGTGTCTGATCATTTTTATCTGCAACTCATGCTCTAGTCAGAGAATCTGTGTGATAGGAACTCCCACACATGCATTGCTCCTCCATGACTCCTGACCCAGGAAATGATTCCCTAGGTAGGTAGGTAGACAGTGCATCCCCTTACCCAGCTAGCTTTGGTTATTTTCAAATACATGACTCAGTGGTAGAGGCTCTTTCGCACCTCTACAGCAAGAGCTCATAGAGGGCCAACTCAAGTTGAGCACTGTCTACCTGCTTTTGCAAATATAGAATCCTCCCAATAGGCTTATATAGAGAGCTCTGTTGTCTCTATTTTAAAGCAAAAATAAAAGTGTCCAAGAGATTAAGTAATGTGCCTTAAGTCAAGGAGTTGGAACCTTGCTTCCTGGATTCAGAGCCTGTGCACTTGACTACTGTTGCAGCCTGCTGTGTTAGGGTGTTGATCCTTTATGCAGAAGGGACAGTTGGCTACACTGCACCACACAAGCTATGCTGCTGCTTTGGGGTAGAAAGAGTATATATCTTAATAACAGTCTTGGAAAAATTTGAACATGGAAAGTAAATTACAGCACGTTCAGTGTGACAAGAAACCCATAGGTTAGGATGAAGGCGTTTTTTTATATCTGTTTTACTGATGCATTAATTGAGGATTTAGTGACTAGATTTGCTGAAGGTCACCATGTGGGTAGATGGAGGTGTGGTTTGAGTCCAGCTCTTCTATTCCCAAGTCTAGTCTTCTCCCACTAGCCCTTTCTAGTCTGCGGAACATACATTTCCTCAGTTGCTGAGAAAGTGCCTGCCTGACCTGCTTTGATCACGTGGCGGAAACTCACTTCCCCTAAAACTTCTTTCCCCTCTGCCTGCCTCTGTTGAATTCCCCACCAGCCCCAACTTTGTAAGGACCAACCCTGCAGGGTTCCCCATAGTAGGGCTGGATGTTTATTCCCAGCCCCCAACCTGGAAGAGGTGCTCACAGATTATGTTGACAGAATGGATGGATTTGTTCCTGGTAAATTTCCCCCAGAAAATCCCACTGAAAATGCAAATGCGTTGCCTGACAGAGAGGCCTGGAATTTGTTTAAGGGCTCTCTCCCAGAGAACAAGGTTTGGAGGGATAAGAAAGGATATGTGGAAGGGCGGCCTGGGAGAACAGTGGGTCCTGGGGAATTCAAGTATAGGACAGGACCCCAAAGTAGAACTGGGGAGGAGGAGGTAGCCCTGGTCCTAAATAGGGGTAGGGAGGGGGTAAGCCCCACACTTTGCCTGGCCTTTGGGGCAAAGAGAGCTTGCCCCACCTCAGTCCCTGGTGACACCCATTGGATTCTCCCCAGTCCTGAGAAAAAACAACAAACACAGGTTTGCCCATGAGAGTCCTGGATGCCTGCCCCATTGCCCACTCAGCCTCTTGTACCAAGCAGATGTCTGTCTTCCTCTTCAGAATAGTAACTGGAGGAAGGAAAAGAAAACCAATCTCTCAGCCCACCCTACCCCAAGGTCATCGCGCAGTCACATTCCCTTCCTGTGGTCTAGCGCTCTCGGAGACCTTTTGCTGGACCTCGAGGCACACATGGATGTGACATACACAGGAACAGGGGATCGCACTCTGGCAATGTTTTGTGGCTCATCTTTTCCATTGAAATATGTTGGGCATCTCAACATCACCTCACAAGATGAGCTGCAGTCTTTTGAAAATATCAGCACTGCATTTCATCATACCACATACCGGGCGTATCACCAGCCCAAGAGCCAACCTTCCTCCTGAGCAAGGTAGCCGTTTCCAGTTTTTTTGCTGTTGTGAATATTGCCATCACTTGGATTTGTGTGCAGTTTATGACCATGGAGCCACTTTGTTTCTTAGAGATTCCACGGGTCGCTGAGCCTTTTTATCACAGTTTTATTTTAGGAAGGGAGAGAACAGAGGCGAATGTCTCCTGGGCTCAACTTTAGACAGCCAGCACCACACTGAACCTCAGCCTGTGCCCGGGAATTCAATGAATCAGCGGCCCAGCCCCCTGCCAGGTTCCCAGAGAACATCTCCGACAGGGACCACAGTGAGAATCCTGACCCCACAGTCACCACCCAGGTGGCCTCTGGCCTCCCATTCCGGGGAACAGAGGCTTCTCGCATCATTTTCTGTAACGCCCCAGGAAATCCCCGGAGGAGGCGGGCTCCCCGCCGCCTCGCAGAGCCACTCCCACGGAGATAACCGATGAGCGCGCTCTTCATCATCACAGTTCCCAGCGCCCAGTGGCCGCCCTGGCTGCCAAAAATCCTCTCTGAGCTCACTGCTGCCGAAGCCAGGCACAGCACTTCCTAGAAAATCATCATTCCTTTTACTGTTTACTCTCGGGGCGGATCACTGCTTCCCATAAGCTCTTGCAGCCAGAAGGTAGGTTTTTGGTAAACCATGTCAGGTATCCACAAGAAGGGGAAAGGATGTTCATGTGTTACATTCCTGATGTTTAACGTGCCAGAGAAAAGGAAACCGTGGCTCTATTTTTAGTTCATGATGAATAAAAAAGAACAATTGTAGTTAGGGAGCTCCAGTCATTCTCCTTCTCTCTTTAGAATGTCAGCACATTGACTGGAGCATGAAGATTATTCATCACACATTGGAATATACACATTTTTCTTGTTTGTCACTGACAGCCCTGATTTTTGCCAAATGATTTGTTAACCAGTTGTACAAATAGTTCCTTAACATTTTAGTGACTTTTTATTGGTATCGCTTCATGCGAATTAATATCTTCTACCACAGGTTTGGCATGCTAGTTGTAATTTTAAGACATGTTAAAATTTAAAATTTTGTCTGTTACCTAAAATTCTCCAGAGTCCCTAACAGTGACTTACTTTGATAAATTCTGAACCATAGGGGGTCTTGGGCTTATCAAGCCTTCTCTGGGAGAATTAACTGAGGCTAACAACATAGATTGCTTACTATTCAGATAATGAGATACCGCCATTTACCTTGCATGTAATATATCACAGATCCAGAAATCCAGGGTGAGAGGAATAGAAAACTTTTACCTATTTTATGAAAGACAGAGCAGCTTAATGCAAAATGCATGAGCTTTGGAATCAGGTCTACATCAGATACACATGTTAGCGACATTTACAAGATTTCTCATTTGTAAAAGGGGCATATTAATAACCACTTTATAAAATGGAGCAAAGATTAAATGAGGTAATAGATATACAGTACCTGCATGGCAGCCATCAAGACCTTTACTGCTTGTGGTGATGATCACCCATATGCAGAGGGACTCTGACTGGTGACAGGCTTGCCCGCCTGTTCCTGCAGGGTCATCTACAGATTAAGGATTCCAAGTAAAGGAAGGGTCAAGCTCCTTAAAGCTTATGACAAGGAAATGGAGTACAACTATGAACGCCCTGGGAGCTGCCTTGGGAGCTTCCTTTGGTTGCTGGAGGCTCCGTGGAGGAGCTCCCCCTGGTATGTGTGGTCTTCTGTACCTCATTCAGCAAATAACTTAGGGGTTAAAAAAATGAGGTGAATTACCAGGTATCTCCTGAAAAAAGGAAAAGATGACGCTCAGAGCAAAACCTCTTTAGAACAGGAAAGGCTAGCATAGTATCATTGTGAAGATATACACATTGTAAAGAGTGTGGCCCCTAGACCTGGTTCTTGACCTCAAATCCCGCTGCCACCGTACACTAGCACTAAAACTCAAAGGCCCTCTGGAAGTGGGACTGAGGAGTCAAAGAACAGTCAAGAGGCCAGCATGGCAGGTGGACTCAGAGGGGAGAGGGAGATGTTGCCCCTGTGCGCTCTCTGCACACCAGAAGATGGCACTCATGAAGTCTATCATAGGAAAGGGGTTCCCCAGACCCGGTGGGCGCTGGGTTAAGCAGATGAACCTGGGAAGGGACAGTTCAGGGCTGTGAACACATCCTAAGAACTTCACCTGGTACCTTGAGGCGAGGAGACACTTGAGGTCTCCAAGCAGAGGTGGGATGTCTTCTGACGGTCTCCATTTTTCCTGGTTTTTATTAGCCATAGCACAGAGCTAATGTCAACTTCTCTAGGTGTGAAATAGAAGCTGTGTTATGCAGTTTTAATGCTGCAGCCACAATGATAATCATCCAATTTCTTGTTCCCGAAAGGAAAAGGAAATTTTGTACTACAGACATGTTAGTTCCAAGTAAGAGAGTCACTGGATCAGGGAAGTCTGCCAGGACAGTCTCAGGGGGTGGGAGGTGAAGCATGGCCTTAGAGACATTTATTTATACCTGACCTAAACTTTCGTCTTAGCTTTGGTCCTTACCAACCGTGACATTGGGCCAGTGACTTAACCTTGGGATTCTCAGTATCTACAACTGTACAATGCCCAGCCACAGAACTGTTGAAAATATCAAACAAGATATATCAGTGAGTACCCCAGGCATCACCCACACTGATGTGACTGTACTTTGAGCTGCATGGCACGGGTTAGCAGCCATCTCATTTCTAGTAGGCTTGGTTTATTCTTTCCTCCTTTACTGGGAATAGGGGGAAAAAAAGAGAATTGTGAAAATAAACAGCATTTTGGATTGTCAGAACCAGAGGCCCGTAGCAATGTATAAAATGACTATTCTAGACTTAGGTACATCTGGTGGGTTCTGGCAGGTAGTTAGGGTTCTCTTAGGATGATCTAAGTTTAAGTGCAGTGAGATTTATTGTCCTTGGGAGCAGGGGCTATGGGAACAAAGAACACACAGGAAAGCTCATGGGGCACACCCCTCACCTGCCTCTGTGCTGGCTTTTGTTTCCCTCAGCCTCTGCGCGGTGTGGGGTCGTCCCTCCCCAGCCCGTGGATCCGGAGTGGTGGTGAGGCATAGTGTGAGGGAAAAGAGAAGACTCACACCAGCGGAGTCCCTGCAGCTTGTGAGAAGTCGGCCCCCCTCAGAAGATGCGCTCAGATGTGGTGCTGAGAAAACAACTCGCTTCCTGCAGAGACTTCTGAAGTCCACACCCAGTCTACTGCTGCACATTTTTGCAGCTGAAGGAGAAACTGCTGGAAACAAGAGTTTCCCTGATGTCATTGGGATCATAGGACTGTGTTCTCCCGGAGACATCAGGGAGTTGGCTCAGGAAGGGCTGGGTGGGAAGTGATGCAGCTCTGAACAAAGGCTCTGGGCTCTTCTTAAAGGGAGGTAAGGTGGGGCTTGGAACTGGCTGAACTTCCACCTGCCCTCAGTGGCAACGGAAGGTCTAGTCCTAAGACCGAGGGCAAACAGAGCAGAGAGTTCGAGAAAGGGTCATGAGCAGGGCAGGTAGGGCCCTGTGAGAACTTCTGCATTCTTCTTTTCTCCTCTCGCCCTACCCTTCTCGGAAAGAAGAAATCTTTGTCCTCGTGGACTCAGGTTGGTGACTCTAATTCCTGTTATGATGTCATTTTGAGACATCTAGAACACTAAAAGGAACTCTTATTCCTTGCTCCCCTGGAGAAATAGCTGGTTCCTCACCAGGACAGAAAATGTCCAAGACAAGCCCGAGATTTACCATTATATCACAGAGTGGGAAATTGTCTGAAACCAGCCTAGGAGCCAGCAAAGATCCTGCTGGCCAAAGATGGAGAGCTTTCCTCCTTTTGAGACACTGCCTCATCTCATAGCCCAGGTTGGACACCCAGATGCTCAAAGATGGGGAATTTTTAACATCAAAAAAAGAATACTAACTTCAATGTATGGAGAGGTGGTGATTCAGAAACTAGTGAGTTCACATTGATAAGAAGAGACCCCCTAATTGGTCACAACTAGAGATTGCTTGGGTACTGATTTCTCTGAAAACTAACAGAAATAAGAATATGCAGACATCCCACCATTACTATGTGAACTTTATTGCAGAGTAACCTAGAGTGCTAAGACTGAGTTCCTCTTTATGTAAGAATTCCCCCTAATAAAGAGGATAATTTGAGACCAGCCTGGGCTGCAAACTGAGCTCAAAATTTGAGGCGAGCCTGAACTGCATAATAAGAACTTGTCTCAAAAAAAACCACAATAAATAAATAAAGAGGAAAAGTAGAAACTTAAGATTTTGCAACCCGCAATAAAATAATGGATTTGGACATGATCATCAATATATGCTAAAACTGGTGAGATGTTGACAGAGACCTTTGTACTGAGAATTGAACCAAAGGCCTTTGCTCTGGGCTGTTCCTATTTTATTATGAGGCAGATTCTTACTAAGTTACCCAGATTGGGCTTAAATTTATGATCTTTCTACCTCAGCTATCCAGAGTGCTGGTGTGCGCCACCATAACAGGATTAAGAACATTAAAACAGGAAATATACAGCAATCTTAACCAGATACACTGACACATGCCTGTACTTCCAGCCACTCAAGAGGCTGAGGCAGGAGGATGCTTTGAACCAGGAGTTCAGGATCAGTTTGGGCAATATTGAGATTGCCATTTTTTTCTCCTGTCTTTTACAGACGGGGTTTCATTACATAGCCCAGACTGGCCTCAAACTCATGGTGATTCTCTTGCCTCAGCCTCCCAAGTGCTGGGATAACAGGCTTGCCCCACCATGCCCAGCCTGACCCTTATCTTTTAAAAAGTAAAAACAAAAAACCCTCCACAACAGCAAACTCTATGCAATATTCTTTATATATAAAAAAATTTAGAACAGGACTGTGAGTATAGCTTGGTTAGAATATTTGTCTGTCATCCATGAGGACCATGTTTGTTCAGTCCCCAGAACTACCAAAAATCAGACCAGACAGACTCTAATTAAGCTCTAGATTTGCACTGTCCAATGTGGTTGCCACATGTGGGCCCTGGACACTGGAAATGTGAATATTCTGAATGTGCTGTAAGCATAAAACACATTTGATTTTGAAGAATAAAAAAAGAATGTAAAATACCTCATAATTTTTATGTTAATCACATTTTGAAACAACATATAGCATTTTGACTATTTTACACTGAATAAAATACAGTATTAAAAATAATTTCATCGATGGGCATGTCGGTGCACACCTATAATCCCAGCGCTTGGGAGGCTGGGGCTGGAGGATCACTAAAAGTTCAAGGCTAGCCTGGGCTACGTAGGTAAGTTCAAGGTCAGCCCAAACTATATAGTGAGACTCTGTCTCAAAGAATAATAGTAATAATAATAACTTCACCTACTTATTTTGACTTTTTAAATGTGGCTACTAGAGGGTTTAAAACTAAATATGTGGCTAAAATTCTCTTTCCACTGGGTAGCACTGCCCTAGATCAAACTTCAGGTCTGCAGGGAATTGTCTGTAGTGGAACACATTAAAAAACACCAAAAGGAGACATGTCCAGAACAAGGGGAATTCTACCCCACCAATGGCTTCCTTTCCACAACAAATTAATCATTTTAGAACAAATAGGGAAGAGGAGTAGCTTTAGATTAAAATTGATATAACAACCAGGTGCACTATATAAACCTTATTTGTTTACTAAACAAAAGGAGAGTTGGAAATGATCTGGGAAGTTTGAACACTGGGACAGGGTATTAGATCATATTAAGAGTTTATTGTGTATTTTGTTAGAGAATGATTGCGTTGTTGCTAAGGTGCTTTTTTATAAAGTGATTATCCATCAGGAGCATGTAACTGAGTATTTGTGGGTGAAATTCTATGGCCACTGGCATTTGCTTTAAAATGCTTGGAGTAAACATATGTAGTAGATGAATGACTGGGGATTTAGCTCAGTGGCATAGGTGCTGGCCTAGCAAGTGTGAGGTTGTGAGTTTGATCCCCCGTACCAAAAAAAAAAAAAAAAAAAAAAGTGGTAGATAAATTAAACCAGACTGATAAAATATTGATTGTTGGTAAAATTAGGTGATGGGGCTGTGGGAGTTCATTATATATTTTTCTATTTTTCACTTGTTGAAAAGTTGTAGAATTTTGGCCAGGCATGGTGGGGCATACCTGTAATCCCAGCACTCGGGGCTGAAGCAGGAAGTTCACTGGGAGTTTGAGATCAACGTGAGCTACAAAGTGAGTTCTAGGGCAGCTTGACCTGCGTAGTAAAACCCTGTCTCCAAAAGACAGAAAAAAAAAAAGACCCAAAAAGTTATAGAATTTAATTAATATAAATATTTTGTATGATATTTAATTAATAAAATATATATTAAGTTTAACAAATATAAGTGTATTAAATTTAACTAATATAAATATGACATTTGTTTACATATATTTCACATAATAATAAACTACAGTGAATTTTGATGCCTCTAGAACTATTTTATTGATTTTTTTTTGGGGGGGGGGGTTGGTGCTGGAATGGAACCCAGGGCCTCACACTTGCTAAAACCAGGTTCTACTGCTGAGCTACACACCCCACTCTGCTACTAGTTTTGTTTTTAGTTCCTGGGAAATGTAACAGGCAATTGGTTGGTCCTGTCAAGGCTTGTGAAATTTGAGAAGTCAGAATCCAAAGAAAATGGAGATGAGGCTGGAAAGGACCGTGCTGGCCCCAACCATGTGGCCGTAGGTGGCACGCATGTTTCCTTGAGGAATGTGGGCTGACAGGGTGGGCTCAGGCCCTGGATTCCTGAGGAGGGAGCCTGTTGGGGGGCCTTTGGTCTGTTGAAGAAGCCTGAGAGGAGCATTAGGGGAGTCTGGACACGTCAGCTCAGTGCTGCGCAGGTGGGCACTGTGGCCCAACATCTGGACTGGAGGTGACATACTTGGAAGGAGGCCCCAGGTTTCTAAGAGAGGTGAATACTAACAATTCCAGCTTGTTTGTTAACAATGGATCAGATACCGTGGCCATTGAGCACTGTGTTATGGAGAGTGGACACCTGGAAAGAAGAGAAGAAGCCAGAACCTGCTGGTGGCCAAGATCATCAGGCTATGAAAATTGCCAATGCATTTGTTGCTGGCAGTGGCCAAACTGCCCCATGGACTACGTATGGCTTTTTTTTTTGGTGCTAAGCGGACAGGGCCTATGACAAGGATAAGTATGTCTCTGATTTCATCTCTTGTATGAATCCTAACTGATCACCAACCTTTCTTCTCTCTCTTACTTATAGTCAGGTCACTGTTGAGCCATCCTGTCTCTGTAGAGTAACTCTTCTTTCTATTCTGTTTTAGAAATCAACCCTCAGAGTATAAACCTATTCTCTCATTTGCCAAGTTCTGATATTTTCTTACCTTATTTGTGCTACTGAAAACAGCACAGAATGGGAAATTTATAAACAATAAAAATTTATTCTTGCAGTTGTAGAGGCTAGTAAGCCCCAGAGCAAGGTGCTGCGTGGTCCGGTGTCTGGTGAGGGCTGTTATCTGCTTCCAAAATGGTACCTTGTTCTGTCTGCTCCCATAACAGAAAGAGGAGGAGCCCAAAGGGACAGATGCTGCTGATGCTTCTCTTACAAGGCATTAACCCCATCTGTCTGGAAGGCCCCACCCTCTAATCCTGTGTCATTGGGGATTAAATTTCAGCATGGAGTTTGGAAGGGACCCATATATTCAAACCATAGCAGATGGGAACCTTTGTGTGATCCTTTGAATAGACAAGTGATGGTACTAAAAATGAAGTTTTAGGACTGGGGCTTTAGCTCTGTAGTACAGCACCTGCCTGGCAAGCATGAGGTCCTGAATTTGATTCCTGGTATCCGCCCCCCACCAAATAAAATAAAAAATAAAAACGAATATTTCTCAGCTCATGATTTGCAAAGCATAACCGTAAAGAATGTGGTTTGCATAGGAATGGCCTAGGCAGGGACTTCATTCAATCCTACCTCATCTTTTGGCCAGTTGTGTGACCTTGAACAAATCCTTAATCCTTGGTGTGTTAAAAGGGCATATTCATGACATTATCATGTGATCCCAAAGAGCATCTGGTACAGTTAGTAGGGACCTGACAAATGACAGCTGTAGCTGTTGTGTACTGTTGCTTTGGAGAGTTGGTCCTGGCTAAGTGAGCTTTCCTTGGAGGCTGAACTACACACCCAAACTGGAAGCTTAGCTCTGCTTCTTCCTTCCACATGCAAATCCAGAACAAGCTTGAGAGTGGAGCTTGGCTGATCCATGCAAACCACAGAAGCTCCGTGTATTTGACAAGCAAGGTGTACTTGATGAGCAAGGTTTATTTGACACCTACTTGTCTATGGGCTATCACTTGTCCCCTTATCTGTCCTAAGACATATAGCATAGGAGTTTCTCTTTCTCAACAGGCTCCTTGGGAGGAATTAAGGCCTGATAAGGCTTGGTGACTTACTTTCAAAGGAACACTTGCTTTTGAGGTCAGCACGAAGCCTGAGTTAGCTCAACATCACAAACCTATAATGACTCCTGTCAGATTTCTCAGATGCTGGGCATTTAGTAGGTACTCATAAATATTTATTAAGTGATTAATGGGAGGATTTGGGAGTACTGTAGTGAATTGCTGAGGGACATCTGTTAGGTCTGGGGACTTTCCTGGAATCATTTTAACCATCCCACAGGGGTGTTTTCCTCTTCCAGTTCCTAAGAGAGTCAGCCCCGAGGAAGGGCCTCAGTCTGGCATTTCTTTAAGGTTTGAGAATAATTCTAGTCAGAGCTAGAGGCATTTCTTGCTTCACTGTGCTTTAGAACCATTAAAACCCTGCTTTGGTGGGCTGGGCTGCCAGAGGAAGTGACAGAAAGCTCACTGCTTAAGTCATTTGTGCTTTGGCTGCCCAGCCCTAAAAAAAATGCCCTTGGGAGCAATCCTGAAGTGCAGGAGGATAAGTTAAATGGCTTAATACATCCTAGCAGCTTCAGAAAGGACTAATGGCTTAGCATTAATTGGGCACATGCAGTGCAGATGAATCTCTGAAAAGGAATTTCAGATTTGCCCATTCAGCTATCACTGGCTTCAAAGCATCAAGTCAGTGGACTCCCAAGCTGATGTTAGATATTAAAGAAATATGAATTCTGGGTACATGCTTCAACCTTTCTATCCCATATGAAATTACTTGTCTCCTCAGCAGCATGTTGAGGACCTACTACGTGGCAGGCATTGTTCAGGGGCTGGGGGAGGGATCTAGAGATAGATGAAGTCATTGAACTTCATCTATCCTCATGAGCCTCTATCTTGGGAGGCAGAAGATAGGTTTTACAGACCAGTGAGCTATGCGCCAGATTGGAGGTCCATCTGAGGAAGGTACATGGGAAGGCAGGGCTGTGGCTCAGCCTGAGTTTGAGGTAGCAGAAGAGACTTCCTGTTGATTGGGGACTGGAGGAATTGTTGAGTAAAGACTGTGAGCCAAAGGAGCAGCATGTGACTCATGTTGGGAGTTACATGGGAACACACACGAGCCAGAGGGAGGAGGATGTGGGCTGGCCAAGTAGGTAGCAGCCAGATCCCAAAGGGTCCATGAACCCTCCGAGGAGTGTCTAATTGCACTCTAATGTGTGTTGGAACACAGATATGACAGGTGAAGCTTTGGGTTGTGGAAAAGGCATAGTTCAGAGTGCAGAAAACACATGTGACCAGGACTGAATCAGAAGTGTTCAGGAGAGGAACTAAGATCTGAGCCAGCATTTAAAATCTTACTGTTCTTTCTGTAGAGTGAGATATTAGAGAGCTCAGTTAACCTCTCTGAGCTTCTTCAAGCCAAGGAACAAATGAAAAGGTCATCTTAAACCCTTTGGTTGCAAGTAAAAGAAAGCCACTTTGAACCAGCTTAAACAGAAGAACTTAATGGAAACATCATGTTGCTGAGAAAAAGATAGGGACATAGTGGTCTTGAGAATACCAGGAACAGTTGTGCTGGGGCTCTCTATCATTTTTAGTTCCCCCCCAAGCATGGGCGTCATGTTCCCTTTTAGAAACATAGTCACTTGGTGTTAACAAGCCTCAGATCTCAGAGTTAGGTTAGATTGTGTCTCTTCTTCCAATTCCGTTTTGTTATGGTTGGGTTATGGTTTGAAGTGTGCCCTCCAAAGTTTTATAAGCTGGAGCTTTCTATTAGTCATTTTCCATAGCTTTTCAAAGCCATGTCTTCAGTGATCTACTACTGCCAATGAGGCCTTACTTCCCAACAGCATATTCATCTATGAAGGCCCTCATGAGCACCCTGAAGATGAATCACTTCTCTTGACTTTACCTCTGAACACTGAGGATCAAGCCATGTGCATCTTTGGGGGACACTTTGTATGTAAACCATAATAATCTCGAATCTCAGTGTGACTTCACTAAGAGGATGGAAACTTTAAGAGATAGGGTCTAATGCAAGGGACTTAGGTCATGAGGGCACTGTCCTTGAAAGGGACAGAGCTGAGTTAATTCTCACAAGAATGGGTCATTTATATGGACTCTTGCACATGGCTAGCTCTTTTTCTGTTGCTCTGGCATGATGTGAGGTAGTTAGTAGGTTCTAGTCAGCATACCTGTGCCTTCTTCTTTGGGTCTTCCAGCTGTCAGAAACCTGAGTCAATTTTTATACTCAGCTTTAGATATTTTGTGATAGCAACAGAAAACAGGCTAACACACAATTAGATAAAGCCTGGAGCAAACTTTGATGGACGAGGTTAGGACCAACTACTCTTTTATCAACTAGTCAGTATGGACAGTTGTATGTGTAATGGTTTAGATCTAAACTGTTCCCCAAAGTCTCATACATTCAGAGGCAGAGATTTTGGAAGGAGACTGGATCACGGGGGTAATATATTCATCCATAGATTAATCCATTGATGAGTTCATGGCTGAGTGTGCTATAAAGAGGCAGTTGGAGGTGTATCAGTGGGAGTATGGGCTAGAACTGTGTGTTCATATGCTTGGCTCATCCTTTCTCTCTACATCCTGAGCATCATGGAGGGAAAAGCTTTCCTCTACACATCCTTCCACTGTGCTGTTTCTATCTTAGAGGTGGCCAACCATGGACTAAGTTCCCTAAAATCATGAATCAAATTAAACTTCTCTTTTAAATTGTGGGTTCAGGTATTTTGTCCTAATGGCAGGAAGGTAACTGATACAGGGGTATATAATGTAAGTGACTCAAACTGTGGGCTGGTTTCTCCTCTTCAGTCAGTTAAATACAATCAGGGACAGAGAAGCAGTGGCTAAAGAATTGATGGTTACTCCCACTCAAAACAGAGGGTTGTATTGGGAGAAAGCACTTCCTAAGAATATGAGTTCAAAGTTGTTATGAACTGAATGTTTTTGTCCCTGCTCCCCAGTAAATAGGTTGAAGCCCAAACCCCAGTGTGATGGTATTTGGAGGTGGTGCCTTTGAGTGGTAATTAGGCTTAGATAAGATCATAAAGGTTG